GGAATGGGAAGCAGGAGTGGGAAGAGGGGTGATCTAGGGGGTGAGCAGACTTCTTTACTTGGGCTTTGCCTCTTTGTACTCCTCTGTGTCCGTGTCTTCATCCTCTGAGTACTCCCCCTCTTCCCGGCCACCGGCCATGAGGCCTCGTGCCGCCAGCAGCCCCGCAGCGTTCCCATAGCCCGTGTACTTCACAAACCGGGACACTGCCAGAGACAGAGACACAGACCACCTTGTGCTCCTTGCCTGCAGCCCTGTGCTCCCACCTGCCTCAACAGCATGATCCACTGGGTCGTGGCCAGGTCATGGAAACCCAGGCACAGCTAGGCTGAACTCTAACAGGGGCAAGGCCACCAGGCTGTGCACCATGGGATCATATAACCATCGTAATCAGGGTTGGAAGAGACCTCTAAGAACATCGCGTCCAACTGTTAACGTGTCACACCAGGGACAGTGGGGACAGCACTCATGGGTGGGGGCTGAACTGTGGCCAGGCTGTCTGCAGGGTGTTGGGGTGTCCTCCAGCACAGCTTGTCACTCACTGCTGCCATGAGAGACAGCAGCTGCTTCCCACAGAGCTCATGAAACTCTCCCCTTTTCCCTACTTGCCCAAGGGAAGGCAGAAGCTCTGCAGAGGGTCCCCATCCCACACTCTCTTAGCCTACACAGAGGCCACTGCACTCCCTGTCCCCAAAGCCCCCCCAGTCCCCAGGACTCACCACTCTCCTTGCAGAGCACAAAGAGGAACTCAGCAGCACAGTGCTTGACGTCGGTGTCGATGTGGGTCATGAGCCTTACCAACTTGTTCCGCAGGGAGTTCCCAACCTCCGGCCGGTTCCGCACGTCCCGCAGTGGCGGCAGCACCTGCAGGGACACGGGGAGCTGAGCGTAGAGCTGGGACAGTCACAGCAGGTCACACAGGGAGAAAGGTGCTACAAATGAGATCAAACTATACATGTGGAAAAAGCTCTGTGGGTGTCAAAGGCCTCAACCACTTCAGGACTCAGTGGAAAGACTGAGGTGTCTGAAAGGTGGCCATAATCAGGAGTTTGCTGCTCTTCTCTCCCCACGGTGCAGCATCACTGAACTTTGGTGAGCACAGCCTACCCTGGCTTTCAGGAACTTCCTGGTCTGCCGGTGGACTCGGGCACTCTCCGTCAGCAGGTTCAGCACAGGGGTCAGGCTCTCCTTCAGCTTGTGGCCCTGCAGGAACACCCCCAAAAGGAGCAGCACATCAGGCACACAGAGCCCATCTTGTCTGGAGACATGAGCACAGGCCACCGGGGAGATGGACGGATACAGGCATTCCCAGCCTCTGCCACCAGCATTCAGTGTCTCCTTCCTCCCCACACCACACAGCTTGCCATGGCACAAGCAGTGCCAGAAATCTTTGTGCCCCTCCAGGGCAGAGAAGAGCAGTGGTAAAATTTGGAGGCCCCTTGGGCTAATTCCAGAGGCTGTAAACCACAGTCGGGTTAAAAATAGTGTGACTTCAGGCTTACAGAGCTGCCCACTGGATCACTGCTGAGTAAAACAAGGCTGAACGTCAATCACTCGGTTAATCACCAGTTAATCACCCACTGTTCCACTGATCTGAAGTCCTCAAAGCAATGACAGTCACCTTCCTAGTCAATAGGTGTTGATTTAGTCCCACCAACCACAACAGCTTTGCCTCTAAGAACTTCTCCATCTCAAACCTGTAGTGCTGGACTCTTCCAGGCTCAAGGAAAGGTGTCCTGAGCCTGTGGGAACAAGCAATGAGGGCAGTCCCAGCACTCACCCTGTCCAGGCGCCGCTCCAGGAAATCCAGCAGGATGCTGACCGCATCCATGTTAACACCCATGTACTCCAGAGAGCCAGGCCGCACCTTGGGGGTCAGGAGCACATCCAGACACTTCAGGGGCAGGTTGCCCAGCAGGTTTACTGTGTGGCTAGAAAGAGGAGAGAACACACAGTCATGGAGCTTTGCTCATGTAAGTCCTTCAGCTCTGCAAAAATGAAGGTTCAGCACTAACTCCCATGAGTGTGAGGACTCTGCAATCCTGTCTCAGAGCATCCCAAGCTCCTCACACAACTGACAGGGAATAACTTAAACTGGTTTTTAGGCTGCTGAACTATTTGCTGAAGATCCAAAGATATTTCAGTGACAACGGAGAAGCCACAGATCTTGCCACAGAGCCAAGCAGGACCAGCCTGGGTGGTCACAGGTCTGTCTTGGCAATCTCATCTCTCTCTCATCACTCCTCCTCACTGCAACAGTCAACACCAACACTGCTTGGGATCCTTCTGACTAGACTGTTCTTGGGGACAGGATGGTGTCACCTGCTCCAGGCTGGCACCCCTGCACCAATACTGCCCAGCAATGTGACACAGCCAATTTCTCAGCATGGCTTAAGGCTAAATAAGGCCACCACGTCTGCCCTGGCCAGTTGCCCACTGAGGTAGCTGTCACCAATTGGTGCAGCCTGACACAGGACATCGAGCCATGGGGGGTTCAGGAGGCTGTGGCATTCCCAGACATCAGGAATGTGCCTTGAGGAGCCCTGCTCCAGGTGGAGCTCATGGCCCAGCACAGACCTGTGGAACTCCTCGGTCCGGTCCTCGCCGTCGGCAGAGATCATGAGGCAGTGGCGCAGGAGGGCACCCAAGTGCCGGTACAGAGCAGCATCTTCCTGACCCCAGAATGAAAAAAGAAAACCCTGATCAGCACAGGAGATCCCACAAATCCCAGGGCCTGCTGCCCCCCAATGATGGGCAGCAGGGTGGCCCAGGGGAAGCAGCCTCTCGAGTCTCCTTCTAGGGTCAACACATGGCCTTCTGCTCCCCAACACCCTTCCTCTCACTCTACAACACGGAGTCAAGGGCTAGAGGAGGCACCAGAACAGTCCATGGATTAGCCAGAGGGATGGTGTTCTCCATCTCACCCTCCTCTGACCTTGGCCTGAAGGTGAAAACTCATTTCTGAGCATGGCCATGTGCTTTTTCTGGAGGATCTGCTCTCCCTCCCGCTCATGTCACTAAGGAAAAATCCCCAGCGTATAAATGGGAATGCTCTAGAAGGTGTAAGGGTTCATACTGCACTGGACAGAGGCAGTGCCCTAGGGCGCCAGAGTCCTTTGCTACCCTGACATTTTTCTGGGCCTGCATGAGGACCACTCTGGGATACAGAGAAATGCACAGGAGGAGAAAACCAGTGCAGTCACAGCCTGGAGGCACATGAGTGTCACAGAGTGGGATGCCCATGGAGCTTACCTCATCCACCTCCCTCTTGCTGGAATCAAAGGTGATGTTGAAGAGCACTTTGAGGATCTCCATGGCTCGCTCTGTCTCCTGCCTAGGCAAAGGTGGGAGAAGTCCCTCCTCAGTGGCAACCTCATAGGGGTCCAACCACTTCACCCCGAGGGTCAGCTCCAGGGTGTCTGTCATCAGGCTGATGCCCCGGAGCTCCTGGGCGAGCTGCTGGCGGATGTCCACCCTGAGGGCTGTCAGCAGGCGCAGGTCAAAGAACTTGATCTCGTGAGGAAGACTGCGCTCGTTGTAGAGCTTGATGCGCCGTGCCAGCCCCACCACCAGCCGCGCCTCGGCCATCAGCTCCTGCGCCCTGGGGCTGCTGAACACGATGTTGCACAGGCATTTGAGGGATTCCAGGATGACATCCAGGTCTGGGACCTCCCGGATGAGGTCCTCTGAGTAATCAATGCCAGCATGCCTGGAGAGAGTCTTCAGGCCTTCCTTAGTGGTGAACGGGTCGAGGCAGTGCTTGTCCCGGGACAGGATGCGGATGCTCTCCAGGCAAGTGACCTGGCAGGAGGGCTGCAGCTCTCTCTCCAGGAACTTGATCAGCAGCTGGGCCATTTTCTACAGAGTTGGAAACAAGCAATGCCTTGCATAGTGTCACTTCCCAGAGCGCTCTCCCACCCCATCCTGCTCTGCCCTGGACAATGGCTCAGGGCTCTGATCAGGTATGCACTTGGGAAGTGCTTCGCTCTGTCATTGGATCCTGGCCCAGTCTGGGCAAGAACAAACAGCAAGAAACAGCTGGGAGAGGGTACTGGATGTAAAAGGAGAGCACAAACAGGTTACTGCTATGACTGCACATTGCAGCTTCGCTCTGGTGAGGATGGTTCAGACTGACAGGGTTTACCTGACTGCTACATTGAGCAGAGAGAAGGCAAAAATGTCCCCCAGGGATTCAGCAAGGAGCCACAGCCCACAGGGCAGCAGCTCTCTGCTCCTACTGAAGACCATGGAGGCACCTGCTCTGGGTGAAACAAACTGGAGAGGTGGAGAGATGTGTCAGAACCACCAAGGGAGGGCAATGTGACCCAAGGGGGGCAAGAAGAGCACGTGATGCCCTGGGAAAGGAGGTGAAGAGACCTCAGGAGATTCAAATAAGTAGCATGTCCCTAAACCTCAGTGCTGTCTGGAGACCTACTAGCCCAGATCCTCTGTGGGGACAGACTGACAGAGCCCCACTAACACAGTTCATGGGAGCTGCAGAGCTCACCTTCATGGGGAATGGGGAGCCATGGAGGAGCACAGGTAAGACCTCACACAGCCACAGCACCTCGGGCTGAACCATTTGTGGTGACACTTCATGTCACACCAGTAACGCCCACACAGACATGGACACCTGGGTGAGGTGAGGGCTCATCAGACCTCTAACATGGCACAGCTCAGAGCACAGGTCTTTCTGTGATGTTATGAGTGCTAAGGATCATGAGACTGTAAGGTTTGTAACTGCTTTAACACAGCCCCATGGGTCAGACTTCAGAATAATGACAGAATCATTTAGGTTGGAATCATTAATCATAATAATTAGGCATTAATTATAACAATTTAGGTTGGAAAAGACCTCCAAGATTGAGTCCAATCTGTGCCCCATCACCACCTTCTCAATTAGACCAGAGCACTCGAGTGCCACATCCAGTCATTCCTTGAACACCTCCCGGGATGGTGACTCCACCACCTCCCTGGGCAGTTCCAATGCCTGACAGCCCTTTCCGTGCAGAAATTCCTCCTGATATCCAACCTGAACCTGCTCTGGTGAAATGAAAGTACTGAGGGAAGGAATGAAGAAAAACTGGACTTCAGTCCTTAACATGAGGCTCACGGTGTGCCCCACAGTCACACCCCGGGGAAGTGAGGAAGTACAGCTGTTCCTCTTCTCCTTCCTCACAGAGAGACAGAGTTTCAGATCCAGCTACAGTGACCAAGGCCTCAGGCTGGCTCGGGAGAAAGATTTTGGGGCTCATGCCCAGGGCTGAGCCATCAGAACACCCCAGCACCAGGAACTTGTGGTGATGCTTAACACATTTCATGACATACACCCCAAAAGTGGGACACTGTGCCTGGATCCACATCCTGTGTGACTGTCCTAGCTCAATCAGCAAGTCAGCATGAGGCAAAGGGCTTAGATCTCACCACATCCATCCCCACATTTCAGGCTGTGCCTGGGAACACGCTATGTGGCAGCAGCTGGCACTGGCACAGCCAAAGGAGGTCCCATTCTCCACCCAGGTCGCCTGGTCTGCACTGGCTGTGCTAACACAGGCATTGGCCTCATCCACCAGAGATTTGAGCACAAAACTGAGCCAGCTGGAAAATAATCCAGGGAAAACAGAGTCATTCTTAAGGCACAGAGAGCTGCAGGAGCAGAAATGAGCAGGCAGAGTGCTGCTTCCCTCGGACAGATTACACCAGCTTAAATGATCTGCTAATACACAGCTCTGGGCAAATCCCAACTCTGACACACTCACCCTGCCTCAGAGCCTGGCACTGCTGTGGTCCGTGCCCGCAGGCACAAGGGATCACTCCCATTACACGCCCTATGGACTATATGGATCATGGAATCGCTGTTAATGCTGGATGAATGCCAACCTTTACCCAAAAACTGATGAAAAAACCAGAACCAGGTGCTCCAAGCACACATTCCCTAACCAAGTCAATGAAAAACTCCCTTTTCTTTCCCTGTGGGAGCTATCAGCCAAGCCCAGCTGGAGCACCAGATTTACACACTGACCAGAGGAGGAAAGCAAAGAGCATGTGCCTACCTTCCTCTCTTCCCGCTCCTCATCCTCAAAAGTGAAGCACTGGGACTTCTGTGGGGAAAACAAAACCAGACAGAACAAGGAATAGGTTAAATCTGCACAGAGCCAGGGCAGAGCCATTCATCTGGGAAGCAGCAGGTCCAAAACACCTTCTCCCAGCAGTCCCCCCCATGATAGGCATCACCCCTGGCTCCATGGGCCAGTGGATGGATGGATTTATGTTAAATACTGCAGCAGCACAGTGAGTACTCATCCCAATCCCAATATCCCATCAAAGCTGGTAATTCCTCAGCTCAGTGACACCACCAAACTGTGCTACACATCTCCCCTGGATATTTATTCTTCCTTTTCCTGACTCAAAGAAATCCTGTGTCCTTGTTACACCAGAACACATCCTTGTGGTTATCCGGGCCATGTTCTTTAAACACAAGGGAACTGATCTCCACACCTCCATCCTGTCCCCTTCCTAACAAACACTCCTACTCCCTGTTCATGGGGAACATTTCTGGATTCCTCACTATTTTGGGTGTTCTTTGCTGACAGCCTCCTTCCTGGCCACACCTGCTCCCATGATCTGGACAGCACAGGAGTGCACAGGTGGCTGGGGAGAAGCAGCACTTCCCAGTGACTGAGGCAATCCTTGTTTACAGCAAGAGAGCATTTGGTCCCAGCTTGGAGAATGGAAACGTTACAATCCATAAACCCCTGATTATGTATGGATCTGCAGTCACCAGGAGTCCAGGGATGGTGTTGTTCTGTCCAGCCTAGAAGCAGTGATGGACACAGTGATGTCGATGCAACTCTGGAGCAGCTCCAGGTGTGGGAGCAGGACAGGTGTGCTGCAGCTAGGCTGTGTGTGAGCTCCATGAGCTGATCCATCCACAGGTTGTTGTGCCACATTCCGAGGAGCTGTCATCTCCATCCCGGCACCGCAGACAGCCAGGCCGCGTGTTCCTCCCCCAGCACATCCTCTCTGCAGGCTGTAATCCCATTTGGGGGCATTCTGGCCATACCTGGGGTTTTGCTTTAACTGTTGCTTAATCTCAGCAACCAAATGTTGTGTGTGAGACAGTGAATGAAACAAAATCCCCAGCAAAGGCCATGGAAACAGCAGTCTTGCAGCAAAAGCGATGCCAGGCTGCACCAGGTTTATCAGCAGTTTCATAATCCTCTTTGACTGCTCCATTTCCTCCAGACAGGCCAGAAAACTCTCTGAATTGACTTCCCTATGCCTGATACACCAGGAAGGACCCGGCTGGGGGATTCCACAGATAATATTGTGGTTTGGGGCCTCAAGCTGGTCACACAGGGGCTGTGTGCACCTCGTTGTCTCCGGTGTTACACCTGCTGCAGATGCTGCTCATCCTCAATGCTGTCCTTAACAAGGACCTGCTCCCTCTTGGCCAGTGTTTCTGTGCTCCAAACCCAACCGCTAGGAATAGTTTCAAAGTGTCTTTCTCTCTCACACACAAAATATTCCTCAGGTTTCCCCTGCTGGCTTCCCACCTCCTCCAGCCTGGTGCAGAGTGAGTCACTGTGATCTGCAAGGCCAGCCCCTCCCGGGGGAACCCTCCAGAGGAAATTTCCCTGACAACCAGAGTCTGTTTCAAACCGGATTTCACAGAATCATGGAATATCCTGAATTGGAAGGGACCCACAAGGATCATCAAAGTCCAACTCCTGGCCCTGCACAGGACACCCAAACAATGTGAGCCTAGAGAGTTCTTTGTGGGACCTGCTCCCTCTTGGCCAGTGTTTCTGTGCTCCAAACCCAACCGCTAGGAATAGTTTCAAAGTGTCTTTCTCTCTCACACACAAAATATTCCTCAGGTTTCCCCTGCTGGCTTCCCACCTCCTCCAGCCTGGTGCAGAGTGAGTCACTGTGATCTGCAAGGCCAGCCCCTCCCGGGGGAACCCTCCAGAGGAAATTTCCCTGACAACCAGAGTCTGTTTCAAACCGGATTTCACAGAATCATGGAATATCCTGAATTGGAAGGGACCCACAAGGATCATCAAAGTCCAACTCCTGGCCCTGCACAGGACACCCAAACAATGTGAGCCTAGAGAGTTCTTTGTGGTCTGTCAGGGACCGGACCATGATCACTGCCCTGGGGAGCAGTTCCAGAGACCAAGCACCTTCTGGGGGAAAAATCTCTTCCTGACATCCAGGCTAAACCTCCTCTAACACGGCTCCATGTCATTTCTTCAGCTCCTGTCACTGGTCACGCAGAGCAGAGATCAGTGCTGCCCCTCCGGAGAAAGCTGTAAACCGCCATGAGGTCTCTCCTCAGCCTCCTCGATCACTGCCCTGGGGAGCAGTTCCAGAGACCAAGCACCTTCTGGGGGAAAAATCTCTTCCTGACATCCAGGCTAAACCTCCTCTAACACGGCTCCATGTCATTTCTTCAGCTCCTGTCACTGGTCACGCAGAGCAGAGATCAGTGCTGCCCCTCCGGAGAAAGCTGTAAACCGCCATGAGGTCTCTCCTCAGCCTCCTCTTCTCCAGGCTGAGATTCACCCTCATGGATAGTTTTCCCTTTTTAAGGCTAGAAACACTCCCATCTCTGCTTCCAAATAATTGGGTTTTGATACTCTATATTCATTATTCACTGCTTCGAGAGCTGGTGGTGCCTGTATCAGATCCCAGCAGCCACCTCCGAGGGTCTTTGACTTGCAAATCACGACAAGGTTTCACCTGCAGCTCCTCACTAGCCTGTTCTATCACATCCAAATCTGCCTTAACACCAAAGCTCCTCCTCCTCATTCCTCACACTGATTCTTGTTTCCATGCCAGCTTTTACTTGGGATCTGGACAACAAAATTTTTAAGAAGTCCCCGACGTCGGGGGGGGTTGATGCTCACTCACCTCCTGGTTGTAGACCTGCAGCACCTTGAGGACCGTGTCCTGCTCCCCACTTTCCAGCGTGGTTACCACAGCCCTGAGCTCCATGATCCCAACAGCTCAGCTACAGCAGAACTGGGAGGAAGGGGAGCGAGGGGACTTCCAGGGTGATGCAAAAGGACTCGGCAGACAGATATCTGAGGGGGGAGAGAGAAAGGGGTGGGGAGAGGAAGGAGGGGGGGGAAAAAAAACACAACACACAAAAAAAACCAACCCCGAGTGAGATTGCTCACGCTGCTGCATCCATAAAAGCAGAGCAGATGGATAACCCCGGCAAAGCCAGCAGCCAGCTTCCTCTCTCTCCCGCTAATCCTCTTCTTCCTCGCTTTACTTTTCAATGTTTAATATATGCCCTCCCAGGAAAGCACTCAGGGAAAACCTTCCCCCCACCAGCCGGGGATTAACGCGGAGCAGATAACAGCAGCTCCCTGAAATAGCTCCCTGCCGCCTCCTCCTCCTCCTCCTCCTCC